GGCTCCAAAGGTTGGCTGGACGGCGTTGCCTCACTGATCGGCGGGGCGGTGCCCTCGGAAGAAGCCCGTGAAGTCGAAGATGCCCAGATCGACTTCGACGGGTGAGCAAGATGAACACTTCCTTGCTTGAAGTCCGTTCGTGGCTTCCTTTTGTAACTAGCTGTTACTGCTACCGGTGTCTCCAAGCGCCCGCGTACCGCGCAACGGGTGTACTCCTTGCCTGCTCGGGCTATTCTCCGAGTCATCGTCGTGAGTAGTGCCTTTCCCGGCGGTTCTGTGTCATATGTCGAGGTTACTGAGGCTTGCAGGACTTATTAAAGAAGCACGAATGGGATAACGCCAAAACTTGTTGTTGGTCGCAAAGTCCTTGCGACTCTGTCAAGTTCTAGAAACGATCAGGAATGGCTCAAGAAGACCTGCTTTGAGCGTGACAACTATCAATGTGTTGTCACCAAGTTATGGGATCCTATACCCGAGTCTATCTTTAACCTTCAAGAACAAGGCAAGATGACTTTCAGCACTCAGCTCGCGCATATAATCCCATTTTCTCTGGGACACTGGGACAATGATCGGAAGGTTAGTTTCTGTCCCCAGTACTGTTAAGGACTTTCTAATTAAGTACTTTAGGCGAAAGGTCTCCGCTCCGGTGCTGCAGCTGCTTCTTATGAGAAAACCTTGAGCAGAAGCCCGAATGAGGAACAGACTGAGATCAAACCCTAGGTGATGCAACCACCTGCACTCCAGTATCAGCAATTAGCAACATGGCTAGAGTAAGTATACAGTTTCTACATATCTTTCTTTCTCAATAATCAAAGCACCCTACAAAGCAAAGCAGCACCTGCGTATTTAATCGGCAGCTAATGAGTTTTAGGGCAGGTTATCATACCCTGCAGTTACACATTCGAAAGCCTTGACCAGCGGACAGACCCGTGTACTGTGAAGGACTAGGTATGTGTGTCCTGATCTCCAAACACCCCCAGCTGCTTATCTTTTCATGAGGCCAGTACACTCGGAGCACTTGTTAAGATACAAACTAGGACGAAGAGTTTATTGCTTGGATATGCTTGTCGGATTCTTCTCGGGACAACTGGCACGTTATATGGACGATTTCCCGTGTGTCTTTGGCTTTTATTCCACGTATGAGAGACCTGGCGGGACAATGCTACCAAGACAGAATGAACCCCGAGCAATCAACCAGGTCTCGCTGGTCAAGAAGGATAGCAGGAAAGTCACCAAGCTCACCTGAGTCAATCGCGCCAGCTATTTAGTGGCATTTGTGGAAGAGCTTAGATGCAGCTTCTAACGAACAAGGAGATTAGTCTCCTGACAATACTGGCAGCAACTCGGCTCGAGGATCATGCAGCCTGCGTGTCGTTAGCGAAACGATTTCACGAAGGTCTCCCACCTATTTTGAAGTCTACGCAATCACTGACTATTAAACAGGCATCGAACAGCAGGAACGCCTCTCGAGGACCGTTGTCGCCCTTGCTATGAAACAATCCATGGCAAGAGGCAGATCGACTCGGCGAGGCGGCAGCCAAGCTCTGGATCAGTACAGATCTGTCTACCCACTCGACCCAAATGGATGTGGACATGCTCCGGCTCAATTATCGCCCGGCAGACGACGTTCAGCGACGGTCATACACCATGGTTCCCCGCTACCAACAGATGCCCCTTCTCTACCTCCAGATAACAGGGAAGCTCTTTTGCTGGAACTTACCCAGGCACTTAAGATGTGGGCGATACCCGCATCCTTTTGGGCCTGCCTCTAAGTAGCAGACCTGTCAGCATTAAGGGCTTTCATCCAAGAAGCTCAAGCGGCACCACACTTATGCGAAATGTTATCCAACACCTTCTACACACTTCCCCAGCATCAGAAAATTTCAGGCCTGGAAGACTGCCCGGTATACGTCAAGAATAACCTCAATGAAGAACGGAATGGCTCCTTTGCACTATATCAATGCACTACAAACAGACTGTCAAGATCGCCTAGTTAGAGGCTTGGTGTTTCGTGATAGGTCCAAAAGATCTCCAGACTTACCTCCGAAGTGACGAACTCTTCTGCGAGAGTCCGAAGACAGCAAGGGGACAATGCCAATCGGAGAGCCATTGATGTGTCGGGAAAAGCACAGCCTGTCGCCATACCCTCCAGCGGCAAATCTTTCAGAATATGGATCACATTTCCTTACAACCGAAAGGAGGCTCTTATTGTCCTTTGACACCAGATCTCGCTCATTCAAGAATTCAACGATTCTGTCTTCACCTCCTCCACCAACAGAGCGCTTATTAATTCAATTGAGAACAAGATTGAACAGCAACGTACCGAGAGTCACAAGGACGCCGTTGCCAACAAAAAACTCCTCAGGGACATCAAAGACTCGATACGTGCACAGACCACGGCACACGAATGAGGATCGAGTAACCTGGAGTCCTGGACCAAGATATTTGTTGCCGGAGACGTTCTCAGCTTCTTGATGCCCGATTTTCGTACGCCTCCAGATCAGTTATCAAACATGGCCACCACCATCCAGATGCCTCCCCTGAAGGGGGATATTGCGGTCGACGGCAACTACTTTATGATCGGTTTTTTTCATCTATTTCCTCACGTATCTTGTCCTCCACTCGCCACTCCTTCTGGAATTGAAGACGTCCAGACCGCCCGCCACAGAGCCCAACAGTACGTATACATTATGACGACAAGCTATATTACGTTGGGTTCGCAGAGTACTACGTCCTGTGCGGTTCGCCAGGACAGTGAAGCAATGGCTGATCGGAGACTGGACAAACGGAGTTTGGAGGAATGTGAACCGCGCCCGTCTCTCATTCGGACTGGTTGAAGTGTCGGAAATCACCCAGAAAGAACAAGCGTATATCCTTGACTCCGACGACAGTGGTCTCCAATAGACATTCCCCGACAGCCCACGAGTCTGGAACTTTACATCCCTGGCACGATCCATTTCACAATGAAGCCACCAACAGTTCACGCAGCCTCGGAGCTAATGCTCCGTTCAATCACCGAGCAGCGCAATGTCGGCGACTGGACGTTCCCCTCTGAAGGGGACGCAGGGGAAGCTCTTCTTCCAAGAACAGGAAATGCACGACAATGTGGACGGCTTCAGGTCCTTGCTTGAGAATACTTTGCTGCGAATCCCGATCTGAATCTGAGCGGGAGAACCGATTTCGCCAAAGAGGAACTCAGCAGATTGTTTAACATAGTGACATACAGGCTTGGCTCCATGCATGAAGCCGACTACCTCCGGACGCAAGTGGAAATTGAGTTTCCTAGGTTCTGAAACAGACATCTTGCGTCCGCTGAACCAGAAGGTCATTGAAGTATCCCATTGGCGCCACTAGGATCATATAAGACTTTTTCGTTCAATCTTCGACGTTGATATCTACGAATGGAAGAAAGCGAACTGGCCTGAATTCATCGTTCATAAACATGCGAACGAAGACGACGGCTCAGACATCCAGAAGAAGACATCCGCCGACTCAAGCCAGAATACCGAGGTGACAAGAGGGGCTGAGGCGATCTTTGGCAAAGACCCATTCGACAGCTTTCTTGCTGGCTCCAGATGGGAAGCTCCGAAGGCAAACAGACGGAGACCGCACAGCGCCGTTAGTCGCTCACTCCTAGATCCCGTTCCATTTTCCTCCGGCCGATCCAGGAACCCGGAGCCGATAGCCTCTCCATAAGCAGGTTGTTGTTGGAGATGAAAAGGGAGTACAGGGAAGACGGCTGGTGCTCTGTTCGTGGACCTGCCCCGACGCCTGGTTCAAACGGCGCTCATGCAGTAAACCTGCGTGGTTGTGGGCCTCCCGCCTGGACAGGGCAGCGGCCCCTGTCTGGCCGCGAGAGGGCATTGGTCAGGAGTCGTTCCCACTGATGTTGGGAGATTTCAGTCCGAGGATCCTGATGATGGGGAGTCACTATTAGTGGCCATGAACCTAAAGGGGAGGACTTTGTTCGTCCCTATGTCCATCTCCTCTCCCAAAAATGCTCTCGGCAAACCACCGCTCCATTGTACCTTTGCAGCTGTGGGCAACATCTGCCCTCGTTGCTGCTCTCTTGCACGAGGAAATACATTCTGTCCCGACAGTTTCACGGATCCCATTTGACTCATCAAGATTCATCGTGGACAATTGAGGGCAGCTCTGGGAAGCAGCCCGTGCTGTGATTACACTTCCAGCCATACCAGAGCCACAAGGATTCAAGTCAGCGATCGTGGGGGGTCTAGTACTCCAACACCACGCCCCAGGTTACCGGATGACAAGGGTGAGTCGGTATTCTTGTCTTTACTTGCCAACTCTGCTCACAAACTCACCCTCCAGGATGTTGATATACTGCGTCCCACCAATTAGTCTCCCGATCCAGACCAGTTCGAGGAGAGAGCGCAGCCAATATACTTCACACGCAATCCCAGAAAGTTGATCCAGGTGGACATCATCCCACAGGAGTTGGTAAGTTTGCTTGAAACTTCACACCCTCTGGCATTGGACGAAGGCTGATCAATACCTCAATAGCCACCATACCTTCCATCGCAGTGGTGGGCTGCATTCTTAAAGAGCAGTTGACCCTGCGGTTTCTGAATAATGCAAGACACCATCAGATTCACGCCTACATTCAGCGAAGCTTGATACACAACGATTTTTGAGGGGATTGAGACGATTGGTGCTGGACCATCCATCGGCCTGCAGGCTCCGCGTCCTGCAACCAGTCTCGAGCTTTACCCTACCACGCTAGATGAGACAGTGGTGAACGTGCACCTGGTCCTGCTAATCCAGGAACTAATCAATCTAAAGAGGTCATCCAACTCTGTGATAACTCTCCATTCGGAATACTGGCAGTCCTTGAAATCTCTGCATCCTCTTGATACAACTGTGCGCTCGTCAGCCACGGCCGAAGGACTCGAGGTCAAACAGCGCATATTTCTAACAGTTTGACTAGCTGTTGAAAGGATTTGAGGCCCTTCATCGATTTGTGTCAGCTATTCGATATTATGGTCAATCACTACCGTCAGCTGCTTGATGGGGAATCCCCTCCTCAATTTCCCATCAATCTTGATGGCAAGGCTGGAAATCCAATTGTTAGATTTGTTAAGGTTGCTCTTGTGGTATGAGCTTTCGGGTATATTCGCCAACGCGCTGCCATTGATGTCACTAAACTATCACGTTCGCGCATACGACATCACCATAATAGGCAGAAAAGCCCGTCGAAACTGCGAAGGGTTCAAAGTCTATCCAATGGTGCTTCAGAAAGATGTGCCTCTATTACATTGATAGAAATCGAGGCTGGGATCCCCGGTTCGACACGTACGAACTTCCCTTTTCTGTTGACGTTCGTGCACTGCTAACTGGAATAGGGCGATTCTCGAAAAAGGTGGCCTGCTCGCAGCTCTCGAAGAAGGAGATCCAGTTCTCGACTGGCCTCTCGCCGACGGAGAGGTTATCGAGTCCAAATCGATGCCTTCGAAAACCCCTCGCAAGGAGACCGCAGAGTCCTCGCCTGGCGGGTCTGGCCCTGCTGCTGCGACGCGTTCGAAAGCTGGCAAGATCACGACGAACTTCACTCCTCCTCCGTTCGCGTTGAAAACGAATGTGCCTTCTGATGGTAGCTACAATACCTTTGACCTCCTTCGGTTTGGTTATTTCGTGGCTGACGAGTTGGGGGTAGTTCACCGTCGTTCTGGCACCGTTCCCCTCGCTTCCGAGAAGATTGGGTCTTCTTCCGCCGGTCCTTCGGACTTGAAAAAGGTTAATACCTTTCCTATCGGGCCGCGAGAAATGAGGATTATGAGGGCGCGGTAACTGGCGTCTGGGACCTCATCCTAAACCATTATTTTAATCAAAGCGATGGTTTTGTCCATAGAATACAGGACAAAGTCGAAGGTGGCTATGTTGATATGAACAGCTGCTGGCAAACCAGAACATGTCCGGAGACCGAAAGAGCAACTGCTGAATCGGAATACATTGTTCCAGGCAAGACAACTGCACACACCACGCGGCAATGAGACTCAATCAGCGTCAGAATACTTGCTATAATGGATCGGCAACGCCCTCGGGCAGTCTGGTGCCCACCGAATGGTATGGCTTTGTTCTTCTCCCCATATTACACTCATGGTGCAGAATGCTGATCTTGATCAGGCTTTCGTTTGGCGATTCCTTCAGTGCTGGATCTGGAGCGAGATATTATCTCGATGGTTTTCTCAGCGGTTACCTCAGAACCATCCATGCAGCTCAATAAGCCGCTAGAGGGATTGGTGTGCCAGCCGCTATTCTTCAAGTACATCCTTACGAACTGGCTGCAGATTGACATCATCCCTCATTATCTGGTACGGTGCATGCCCCAGCCAGATCGTGAACTACCATAAAGAACTGTCCCGCCTTCTTCAGAGGTTTAGGCTCACTCGTCGCCCTTCTCTTGCTTCGATCAACAGCCTCTAAGTTGGTCAGGCTATGCTGCTTCGCACCCTGTTCCTCACCCTCGTGAACTGTACCCATCACTCACACGACTACCGTATCTCTGCTGCAACCCCAGTTGGAAATCCTGGCTCTTATCGACCAGCTAAAGCGCCGCATCCACGAAGCCAATGCCATTGCTCTGTTCGCTGCATAGATGAAGTCGAACTAACGATGGCAGCCGCCAATACCTACCTACCTGCGTACGTGGTGACGCTGGAAGACGTGGACTTTGTGGACTGAGCCATCTGCCGTTTGTTGCCCTTTGGATCTTCTTGCCTACAAGGTCCACTGCTCAAGCATGCGATCCTGCCCGGACAAAGAGAACAGGACGCCCAGGATGCGAGGATGATCTGGGAAACGGTATACGGTCTGGAGCTTGTTTCCTTCAGAGTCTTACCAGAGCTGCAGCAAGGACACTCATTTGTTCTCTAGAACTCAGGGAGTTTACGTTGGACCTTCTTGCCTACAAGGCCCACTGCTCAAGCATGCGTTCCTATCCAGAAAAAGAGAACAGGACGCCCAAGATGCGAGGATGATCTGGGAATGATATACAGTCCGGAGCTTGTTCCACTCAGAGTCCCACTTATGGCTGCAACGAGGACACTCATTTGTTCTCTACAGGCGATGCCAGAACTGCAGGGAATTCACGTTACGATTGGCCATCTTTTGGGGACGCATCAAAAATCCAGCATGGGAAGGGAGAGAGAGAACGGTTAAAGTAGGCAGATTCAAGACAGTCCGACCTGGTAGTGGTCGGTGCCGGAAATTGCCATTCACGAAGCTGCGCGCGTGACGGAACCCGAACTCTGGCCCATGCTTGCCTGGTTCACACCGCGAGCCATTCTGCTAGTTGGTGACCATCAGCAACTGCGGCCATCACTAAACGCGAACACATTGAAGAGGTCGATAGAAGGGGTACCACAGTCACGGGCACTCCAAGGCCCCTCGTGTTTAGCCGCCCTGAGGAAAATCCTTTCCAGAGTCAGCTTTCGATATCACTTTTCGCACGTCTTAATCTGAAGGTTCATGGACCTGATGTTCACCGAACAGCACCGCATGGTCAACCGACTTTGCAATATGGTCAGCGGAATGTTCTATGTCTCCCAGCTTTCCACCACCGAATCCCTTGACGACAGTGTTAGACATCGGCAGAAACTCGATAAACATGGCCATAATCAACTACCATTCTGGAGCCCCACCGCGTCGGAAACCGACCTTATCAAGTCCCTTCTCGTCAAGTCCTGTTTTTATCATGGCTGTAAGTAACGTTATGGGATCTTCACAATCATTGCTTAATGAAGGTAATATAGGGTTGCAATACTTGTGCTGTGACCAGCTGTGTCAGCGGCTAGGAGTGCTCAACACTCAAGAATCTTTGCTACACCTGCCCCAGTTATCGACAATGAGCGTTTAGAGCTCAATCTCGCGCCGTTCGAGGAAGACTATGGTTGTCTGGACTTGCTGTTTGAGTTTGACCAGTTTTCCTACCAGCCATACGTGAGTTGTCGTTTTTCCATCATAGGCACACGCTCACTAATAAATGCCAGGTCCCGCTGCTTCCCAATCCAAAGACCAGAAGGCCAAATAAAAGGATGATGCGCAAAAGCTGATTCCTGTTTGTGCTTGAGATTCGGATGATGCCAAGAATTCAATGGGACTCCGTGGAAATACGGTCAATTACATCTGAGAAACATAGGCCTTGATGGCAGAACCCCGTGGCTTGATTCTGTCATCTCTAGGCCCGGCACCGGCTGGTGCTATCGAGAGGAACTCTCCTTTGCGCTTACTAAATGTCTTGGAGGTGTCGAAAGCCTACAGAGTCAATGATCACTAACCATACCAATACTGGTACCCCATGACCTCTGCGGACGTGGGGGACCATCAATGATATGAAAGATACGCTGGTGGTTCAGACACAGCAGGGGATGTTCCCATCTTAAACCAGTCTCCGAATACCCATTCTGCAACTGAACGATGCATGGTGAGTAGTTCGGGATCAGTTTGAGACTGCTACGGAGTCGTCTATCTTGGCCTGATGTGTGGTCACCTCTGTTCTGCACTGTTCCCGGACACAGTCAGGGAGAATTACAACGCCACCTGGAGGGAGGGCTTTGAGCAGGTGCGACGATATATGAGACACATGGTGGCTCAGCACCCATGTCGTCGTCCCCAATACAGCCCTATCCCCGTCGGCAGATGTGTCGAATTCTACAAGTGGACGCAGCCAAATTTGCCCCAGTGCTCTACGCCGGCAGGTATGACCTATTGGACTATTCTGCCACCATTCATGAGCGCCTCATGAAGATCAGGGAGGAGCGCCTTGGTTGAGCGGCTGAGCGGTAGTTGAGTGGCTCGAATCCAATGTTGGGCAGACTACATCTTCTGCCAGTTCCAGTGGGAGATCAACCGGACACCTCTTTAGCATGTATCGTCTGCCCGCAACATTTATAGAAATCAAAGAATACTTTCTCGATTTGGGACTTTCCTCTGGCCAGGGCAGGCAGTTCTATGAAACTTCCGTGGAAGAATTGCTTCGTCATAAAAGACGCTGCCAAGGCATCACTAGACTCAGATCAGCCCTTCGAGTTTACTATTTGCTTATCTCTACAATGGAAGTCAAATTCAATGAAGCTTCTCATCTTGGAAGATGACAGCCTCTTGGAGCCGCCCCTCAACCTGAACACTCTTTTTCAGGCGGTAGGCCGGGTGCACCGGCTTGGGCAGCGCAGCTGCCAAAGGGTCTGGTCGTTATTCCAGGAGCAACCCATCTCCCGCTGGTAGGAATGCAACAACATGGTGAAGGCGCTGGCCCAGTTGGCGGCACAACTCCATGATCTCCTCAAACCAGTGGTCACGGCAGCACGTTCGACACGTCTTACAAACGATGATGACGGGACCTTGGAGAGGCCGAGGTCATCCAGCGAGCTGCGGAGGATTGTCTCCACCACATGCTCGGCCAGCCGGCCAGTCGGCTGGGCGTCCAGGACCTGGATGACCTCGGCCTGCTACGACGAGATGTCGATGGAATGAAAGCCCGAATGACACCCAAGGATCGCCAGCGTGAGAGGGAGAGGCAGGCTACCATAGTGAGAGGCAAGTCACCAATTCATTGTTATCGAAGCAGGTAGGCCAGCTTAATTGGCTATCCATCAGAGCAATATCCAACGGGCAGGCTCCAATCCGAAGCGCCAAAGCCAGTCACTTGGGTACTCTTTTTGGGGCTAGTGAATATCATAATGGCTCCATAAGCCATGTTGAATTGGCGAAAGTGAATAAAACCATAAACATGCAAAACAGAGGGTTTCATGATTAGCTCTTGGCTACAACGTATATCTGCTACTGTAGTAGGGAATGATGGTACCTTTGAGGGTGCTGGAATGCTACTGTGGTCTGTGAGTCAGTCTATATTACATCTACTCTGATAATTGATATTCACAATTTTGATCTACTAGTGATGAAGTGAATGTCGAAGCAAGGACGCTATTTCCCATTTTCTAAAGACCACATCTGGTGTCGTGTCTTCTTGGGATCATCTTCATCTTCATCAAACCATCCATCAGCATCGCCCTACTGTTATGGAACCAGCCAGACTGCTGATCGAGAGGCCGATCTCCCGCTTGGAGCAGAATCAAAAGTATCTGTGACAGATGACTCGGACGACAATGAGCACTTCCGGGTAGGAAGCAAGCTGGGACTCGTTGGCAGATTCCATAAACACATCTGCGACGCAGTGGCCAAGGCCCTGTCAGTGACAGAGCTAGCTCGCCTTGCGTTTGGAGATTTCCAAGCCACTGCACACACAGATTCTGATGTACCAGACGTTGTCCTGCTTGCTCTGTCGAGATTGGACGTCCTCGCCGTGGGCGTCCTCAAAACATTTTGGACGGTCGAGCTCGAAAAATACCCGGTCAATGACGGTGCCGCGAACATGGCTATCATGCAGCCACATTTCGGTATTATGAACCCTTACAGCCGTTTGCTCACTTGCTGATTTATGTAGGGCAGCTGGTTTCGTTACATGCGCACTAGCAAACTGAAATACGGCTTTCTCTCGACATATCGTCCCAATAGATGAACAAGCGACCAGGCCATCCCTTCAGCAGTGCTTCCTTGCCTTTTGCCTTCTCGCGCTGCCTAAGAGAGGACGGGGGTACAGATATTGGGCACATTCTACAGGTGGGCCTGTGGGAACGAGTGATAGGATAAGAAATTCCGAATACGGCGCGAGACGGTTGATATACCGAAGTTCCCGATTCCAATCATACTCGCGTGAGTGCCTAGCCTTTTGTCCACTGGCTGTCGGCAAGCTAATTCTTTCTTATGGCAGCTGAAAATACCTTTTGAGCCATTCGTTCAAGCATCCACGCGCCCATCTCCCTTCCGAAATGAAGTGACAACGAACAATAATACGCCAAAGCCATGGGGTTGCAGTCAATCCTCTTCGGAGGTGAGGATGGCGTGGCCCAGCAATGGGTCAATTGTCATCGACTCATCAAAGGATCTCATACCAAAGCACTGTATGAGGTTACTTGGGACGGTGAGCCTGCTGTAGCTAAATGTTGGTCGAATGCACGGTTACAAGGGTACGAACACTTCATCCGCTCATGTTGACAGGACCACTGACAAGTACAGATACATTCATGAGGCCAGTACCTACGAGAGACTGTACCAGTTAAGGCCAGAAGGCTTCGAGTTTTTCGCCACTCTTCAGAGTCATGGGAAGATTGTCTGCTCATCTCTTTTCCCTAAAGGCCACATAATGATAATCAAGAAGGTCAAAGGCGAGCCCTTGGACAGACAATGGGACCTTCTCTCAACAGATCACAAGCAGCACATACGCTCCACCATCCGCAGGGCAGTTGAAGCGCTCAGAAGCATTGGGTATCTGTCGTTGGATTCTGGAAAGCACAATGTGCTGTACTCGCCGGAAACGCGGACTGTTACCATGCTCGACTTCGAGCTCATGCAGGCCTGCGACGAAAGCACCATGAGCCCAGACCGTCCAGAGATGTACGCAATCTTTGGACATCCAGTACCTTGGGGTCCGTTCCTTTTCCTGATCGTTTCCGCATTCTCCAACTCGTTCGTTACTATCTTGCCCAGTCCCCTTTGTCAATAATGGATACGACCGTTGCCAAGATATATTGGTTTCCTAATCCGGCGTCTGAATATCATCGTTTCTTTGTCGACTATCCATGGAATCAACCGAAGCACCACCAAGCAGTCGCCGGGCTCGAGGCCCGTCATTTGTGGTTTCTTACCGCCACGCCCTTGTACAATCGCGCTTTCGACATGTGTGGTTACTTGGCGATCCTCTTCTCGGGGCTCCGCCGGTCTGATATCGTTGATGAGGTTGCAGAGATCCCCCAGGGTCGGCTACAAAGGCGGCTTTCAACGCTAAGGTGACAGAACAGGGCAATGCACTTTGGGTGGCACTGAAAAGGAGAGCTCTGAACCGGACCACTGCAATAAAGGAGCTCATGGAGGTCTTAGGGCCCTTAGTTGAAGACATGCGAAGTCGTGTCCATGGGAAACTCGAGCAAGAGAGGAGCTGCGAGAGCCACCGCCGGGAAGAAACCGAAGAGACCGAAGATCATCGACAAGGTCCTTACCGTGCTGGGTAAATCTTGCAAGTGTACTGAATTAGTAGATCCCTAAGAAACTTTTCTAACTATCATCATACAAGGTAAGTTCACAGATCACTTGTATATCGACAGACAGCTAATCGGGGAACAGCCATTTACTGCTTTCATAGAAGTTACCAATTTCATCATAGCCAACATGAGCATCGAACCTGTAAGCATTTCTTTGATCAACTGTGTGCTGTGCCCTTGCTGATTTTCCCTAAAATCCAAGTATGATACGCTTTTGACCTTCCACGATGAGTACCGGGCCGCGAGTGTCCAAGACTACGAGGGCGCCGTAACTGGCGTCTGGAACCTCCTCCTCAACCATTACTTTAACCAAAAGGATGGCTTTGTCCATAGAACACAGGACAAAGTCGAAAGGGGCTATGTTGATATGAACAGCTACTAATAGCTATTTCGACCCAACGTAGCTGGGTGGGCAAGCGGACTGCAAGGAAGAATGACAAGATACACGGGAACAGTGGTGCGCAAAGCTCATCGTGCAAGGCAGACTCGATTGGCCGAGGTGTTCCAGTGCAGCTGGACCGAGGATGGGAAGTTCCATCTTGACGCCTCTGGAGGGGTTTCGCGGTTGATGGAGGGAGGGAATCCTGGCTGTCCATGTTGACCGGGCTTGGTATGGGATCATTAGGTCTCCATTGCTGCATCTAGCCAACTGATCACACACTTGGACTCCTACCATCCGAGCTCGAGAGGCGAGGAGAGCATGTTGCACTTCACGCTGCTTACCTTCTTTTATCCGGAAGTCACCGCCAGCGGCACCTGTCTTCTGCGTCATGCTGGACGACTACTACCGACATGCGAATGACGAAACAGATAATGCCACAGCCATAGTGGAATCCCTCTTCCTCGTATGCGTTTTACCTCCTGCCTTCTTGCTCATCACAACACCCAGCTCATAACTCTCTCAACATGGCAATATAATTGCAATGATAGCGGCTGATGCCCTAAGAACCCTTACCCAATCTCAAAGTCAGCATAAGACATACAACCCGTCACGCACTACAGCCAGTCTACTATGTGGGAAACCTCAAGCCATGGCCGAACTTTAAGGCTGAAGTGGCCAACACTTTTCAGAATCAGACCTGGAGTCCACAGGTTATAGCTACTAGAATTATTGGACCAAATGCTGCTAACTCTACTAATGAAGAGCATGTCTTTGTCTCCTGCGAGACTGATGTTCAAGGGAGACTACTAGGACGAGCTGGTCAAGTTTTAGGTGCTGCCTTCAAAGCTCAGCGGCACGACCTCATATTTGGCAGTTTCAAACGTACCACCATATGAGGGATATAGCAACGTCCCCGATTTGTCACCATGGACAGACCGTGGATTCTCCGAGTTTTGGTGGAGAACGAGTGAGGGCGAACGAAACGTGATGCCAATGAGCCGCCTCGCCGAGGCATACTATCTGATCGCCAATGCTGTGGAGTTGAGATACTTATTACGCATCTTCCACCAGGAGGGTCTCTGGATCGCAGTGAGGCGACGACCACGCTTCTTGTTATTCGTGGATTGGCCCATGGTAATGTGGGTAGTCGAGATGCTTCTGGACTCGGCTTGGCCCCTTGGTCCTGTTTTCGAAGCAGTGCCTTGTCTGAAGCCTCTCAGCATCTGCTACTTACGTTGTCTTTTACCACGCCTTTAACTTTTTTCCTAGGGGCGGATCAATGGCGAGCTAAGTCCATGTATGCAACCATATACATTTGGTTGCCCATCTTATGGGCTATGGCATACCACATCAGCCTATATATGAGGAGATACTACCAGGCAACTCCCGAAAGAGATCAGTGCTGAGAGACGAACGCTTAACTCTAAGATCGACAAGCTGACCGGCCCGGACATGATCAATGCCCTGGCGATCTGCTAACCATGCATGCGGACAGATTGCAGTCCTAAGAACCGGCTCTACCGTGACATGGACATCCAAGAAACGATGGCGCAGGTCAGCCTCACCCCGCAGATCCAATCGGCCATCGACGACCCAGTGTTCTGAGACGAGAGAACACAGAGGACTCCGAGGGACTCAAGGAAATTTTGAGGGCCTTGATACTTTCCACATCCTCAGACACGGTTATTTTGCGATCTGCAAACCCATCTGAAAGTAGTCCTTCAAAAACCCTTCCTGAAACCGAAGCTTTGGTTCTTCCAGAATGGAGCAGGAACCAGCGAGCAGCATCCTAGTTTTCACAGCTCAGGAAAGTCCATGAGAGCATACTCTATAGATTGTGAAGCCCTCCAGAGGTAGTGATACTGCAAACCACTACAGCACTTCTTCCGTCGTCTTCGTCTTTCATCCCACTTCCGCTATACTTGTCTGTTTACTTCCCGCTGCAGACGGAATAATGGCTAGTAGTAGCTCTATACTAGCAGCCATCGAAGCTTGCTTTTAGCATTTTCCGTTCTGCGGGCCAATCGCTGTTGTGAGCTGAGAACCGGGAGCATTCATGTCTCATATTGATCGAAACGGATTGTTACGCAGCAGAAGCTGAAGGGAGGTGCGTTTTGCATGCTCTTGATATGTTTCGTTCTGAGGGTGGAGGATGGGAGGCTGGTGCTTATTACTATCCACTTTCTCGCTTGCATTGTTAGCTGGGATGAAACCAACTGAACTGGTCTAAACGCGGACGAGCTTTGATCTGCTGCATTGGGATACAGATTAACCCTCATCGCAAGTACTTTCAACAAAGGACACAGCGCATATATCATACCACTATGACTATGGGTAGGTATTCTAGACTAGGAAGTACATCATCCGGACACCATTTAGTCTATCAGCATAGATTTCAATAGACATTGAGCCGTTGTTTTCCTTCTCCTACTAACTGTACAACCATGTATCTACTGACTAAAGAGAAATCATCAAAACACCAGCCATGGCAGCAACAACCCCATACGCAACCAAAGGCCAGCCGCCCACCCGGACCGCAGCAGGGTTCACAGCACTCGCAGCCGCACCCTTAGACGTGGACGTACTCGCCGCGCCACCACTACCACTGGTAGTACCACTGCCCCCCGTCGGCTGGGAAGTAACCGTCCCCGTCCCCGCGGAACCAGCCTGGCTAACCAGCGACTTACAGTCCGCCGACTGGCCCTTGGGCGACTGCACCGACGCCGCGCCGGCAAAGTCACACGCCGAGGCAGCCTTATTCTGGCTCTTGTAGTACCGATCAAACACATACGACAGCTGGTCCTTGCTCGTGCAGACGCTGTACGCGCCATACGAGCCCGTCGTGGCGTTGTGCGCGATCCCGTCGCAGATCCCGCCCCCGTACCCGCAGACTTGCCCGAAGAGCTTGCCGTACTGGTCTGCGTCGACGGAGTCCTTGACTACGCAGGACAGGCTGGATACCATGCAATTACAAAGCTCTGCGTTGGGGATCGGGGGCAGGGGGCTGGACTTGGCGAGCCAGGTGTCGTCGGCGGTTGGGCAGGCGCGCGGCGAGTTGGTGGGCGAGTAGCTGGCGCTGTTGACGCCGGTCGGGGTGGCGCTTTGCATCTCGGACGAGAGGTAGGTGAAGTCTGGTTCTAGGGAGACGGAGGAGCCGGACACGGAGACCAGGCCGTAGTCGTTGGTTGTCTCGAAGTACATGTAGACGATGCCGCCGCTCCAGACATTGTCCATCTGCGGGCCGAAGAGCACGGGCACGTCGGTGAACTTGCGGGGTTTCTCCGTGTTACAGCCGTATTCTGAGAAGAAGATGGGAATGGAGTAGTCCTTGTACTCCTCGGTGCGGTTCTCGTAGCCAGAGGTCTGGAAGGTCTTGTCGCCGCACCATTCGTAGATGTTGTAGCCGAAGAAGTCGATTGCGTCGGCCTGGTCACCACAGTTGAGGTAGTTGGACAGCGAGAGCCGAATCTCCGGGTTGTCGGTGGTCGCGTATCCGATTACCAGCGATTGTCGGTATCCCTTGTTCTTGATATAGGCTTTCATGTCTCGCGCGGCAGCCTTGACGAACGCAGCGCCGGCAGACTGATTCGCCTGATTCACCACCTCGTTGCCGGCGAAAAAGCCAATCATGTTATCGTACTTTTGGAATGCGTCGATAACGCTGGTGTAGCGGGAATACTGGTCGACCGTCCAGACAGGAGAGTTGGACGTGATGGAAACGTCCGGCGATGCCAGATCCGCGATGACATAGATCCCGGCATCGGACAACTTCTGCATGCACGCATCGTGGTTTAAGGACGGGTTGACGGCATACGTCCGGACCACGTTGGTCCGCAGTTGCAGAAGGTAGGGGATATCGCGCTCGCATTTGGAGCCATCGGCCAGGGGGTCGACGTAGTTGGCGTTGGACTGGCCGGTTCCCCCAGCCCCTCCGCCGCTGTAGTCCTCTATTTCATTTAGTCGCATCCTGGATGGTCAAGTTGGTTGGTAACATACCTTGGTATGCTACACCTCGAATGTAACTAAGAAGAATGAGTCATTGAATCGTAACGAGGACAGATACTCACAATTCGCTTCCATTATTCGCGTAGAAGAACTTGGAGCCCTATCAAGCTCATGGTTAGAGTGCCTCTTGCACAGGATCCATCAAGAACTTGCTTTGATTTGGATGTTTGGGACAGTAGCAATAGCGCATCCAGATAGCAGGGAAACCCCTGCTATAAGAGAGTATCTCATCCCTGATAAGAACGAGCGAGGGTAGCCGGGTCGACTTATATAGTAAGTTTGAAGACAAGTCAACGCAGCGAAAGAGACGCAAATAGACACGTAACGAATGTCAGGCCCAAAGTAAAGAAAGGAAAAGAGGGACAGAAGGCCAGGCAGCTGCGTTCTATTTAATATGTCCCCAGTAAGACGCTCAATCTATTCGAATGTAACATTGACATGCACTGCCCGACGCAGAAAAGCGCACTAATGGCGGACAAATGGCATAATGCCTGGCTGCCGGGATACAAGCACTAGAGAGAGGCCGTTGGAATCAGTGGCCTCGCTAAGAGACAGAATGGCTTCGTAAACCAGGGATCAATCATGTCGCGAACAGGCCATCGACGCACTGTTGCCTGGACTAGTGATCGGCTACTTCACTAGACCAAGCTTTGCGGCCCCAGTGACTGGCGGGGTTGGTCGGAAGCTTGACAGGCCATTTTTAGCCTCAAATCCAAAGGAAATGTCTCGGATCTGTCGGATATTAGCAGCTGTTTGTGAGCTTATCCAGGGTTGACTGCTAGTGCTGACTGACCTGATTGGCGTGTGTCGCTCATGTGTCATTTCCCTGATTTAGAAGTCCGTCTATAACATAGAACCACAACAAGGATAGTCATTGTATCTATTATTGTCCATTGGCTTTGAGAATGTACTATCTATGAGTGCCGAGTCCGTGCTCTTCCCTCCATCTCTTTCTGTAGTCTGTCCTCTTCACCCTGCAGACCCTCCTGGCTTTCTAACTGCTGGCTTGGTGACCTCCCATCGCCCACGATTCCAGCCTGTCCTTCGTTACGGGCTCTTTCCTGCTCCTGCCTCTGATCCTTGGCTGCCAGTGCGGCCTCCTCCCGTGCTACCTCGCGAGCATCAATGCTCTCGAGCCCAACGACGCTCAAGATCCTGCCAACGAGAAACTGGTAACGAAGATAGCCGCTGATCAGGTCGCTGACATCCAAGTTCTCAACTCCTGACACGCCTTCAACTGGCTGCAAGCCTGCAACCCCGAGCTGGAGGCTGCTGGTTCGGTACAAGAGAGCCAACACAGAGTCGTTTTCAGAGAACACGTTGACAAGGCGTCCACTCACAACACTACGGATGCGACACCATTGCTCGCTGTTCGACGGGGTGGGAGCCCCCATCAGGATCGCTGATTCCACCAAGCCGAACGCGCGCCGCTTCGCCAAGCTCTGCAGGCAAGCGAAAATCACGCGAGAGCCCAAGGAGTATCCTATGAGGGTGACTGGTCGCTCGCCCTGCACTTTACTCATAAGAGCATCCGCAAGAACCTCCCCAGCCTTGTCCGCCCGAGCCTTGGCTACGCTAAACGGATTGTCCACCACACGTGCGACCTTGAGAAGGCCAAGCGGCAGGGCGACGGCGGTCAAGAGTTGGGAGAGGAATGTCTTCTTCAGGACTTGTTCACCGGCAGTCCATGCGGCGCTGGTCACCAACAGGTCAAGCGCATTTCCCAGATTCATCAAAGGCTCGGTTTCCCAACGGAGACCAAACACCTCCGATTCTGCTCCCATCACCCGCCAGGGGATCACGAAATTGTCCTCCTCTGTCAGCCACCCGGTCACGCCAATAGTAACCCGAAGTCGATGATCTTGCTGCGCAGCTTCCCTTTCGTCCTCGGACCGATGCTGAGAACCACGAATGGGCAAGAACGCAAAATCATCCACCTCCCGCGCGTACTTGTCGACCATACGGCCAGTCATCCGCCCACCGTAAGCACCGAAAAGTCCGCCGACGACAACACCACTTCCAGCGAGAGCTCCGAGATATCCGGCTGCCGCGGTGGCTCCAAGCCCAAGGCCGCCCATTACTGTTCCGAGCCCAGCTGCAACAAGGGGGGCAGCCAGTCCACCGGTGATGCCGATCAGAGCAGCACCTGCAACTGACGCGATTCCGACTTTCCATTTTCTGGATGAATCGCGATTCCGGGGCTCATCCGGCGTCTGGGCGTTAGATGACAGCGCCAGAGCAGTGTCAAGCAAGCCCCTCGCCACTTTGACTTCGTCTTCGTTCAGTAATTTCACGTCCAGTCCTAAGCTCGACGCCACGTACAGCATCAGGACGCGGGACCAGGCATTATAATGTTCAAGACTCAGGACTAGAAGTAGCAATGAGTGGAGAATTAAGAGTTTCTTTGCTTCGGGCAGTTGAGAGAGGCTGGTCTCCACCGGCGGGAAGACCTCACGTAGCTTACGAATGGAACGGTCGTCTTCCTCTGAGCGGATTTGCTGGGATTGCCTTTCTGACGGCGAGTTCTGGTTCGCCGCCTGGACTTCACCACGATCAGCTGGGTCTCTGTTGACGACCTCCCCAATCCGAAGAAGGACAGAGTCTCTCCAGTCGTCAAAACCGGACAGAGCACATGTCGCAGTCTCGGGATCTTTAAATTTAGGGTCGGTTCCTGGGCGATTCGCTGCGCTGCTGGACGATGACTGGTCTTGTGCATCTGTAGGTTGAGGCAAAGAGCCTCTCCCTTTTTCTTCGTAGTTCGCCGAGTGGCCTGGCGAGGGCGTGGCATTGGAGAAGTTTTGCTCAATTGCATCCCGCATCCGCTGTGCGATTAGTGCGACAAGCACTGTCAATTCCCCGCGTTGGGATCGATCCAATATCGTGGTCAGATCTTGGCCACGATCTGAGGCTGCCGCTTCAGTCGAGTCTCCCCCAAACTTGCTAGCATGCTTTTCTTTGAAAGATTTCCACATTGATAAAACCGCTGAAGTGAGATACCTTGCACAAAACCAACCAGTCCCCGTGTTGTCTTGACTCGTAGGTGGTTAAGTGGAGAAATGCTGTTGACTGTCGAGCTCTAATGAAGTCATCCGATGCTGACTCAGCGCCCTAGTGTCGTACGGTGCAACTCGTCGCACGCGAGATGAAGCAGGCCATTGTGCTGTAATAAATGCCATGACTTTTGGGAAGGAGACATTCCGAATCAATTGCCAGACTCATTGCCCGTCTCAACGACAAAGAACTTCCCCTTAGTCTTGGACGCGTAGCCTAGTGCATTCCCATCCCAAGCATCTCCGTCCGGACGGTCATTTCTGGCGCTCTCAATGCGATGTATTCTCCTGTTTCGTCCTACCACTCGTTCTTTGGACATGGCCTCCTTCAATTGTTCGAGTCCGATCGTGTTCTCCTGGATCGCCTCCGGGGTCTCATCTCGAATGGCTTGGAGGGGCTCGACCCCGGTCGCATCGACGCTCTGGATTTCCTTTACGAAGTGGATCTGGGACTTGAGAGTTCTGAGCATCGCATCCTCTTCTTCTTTGCTGGCGGGTTGCGGTAGAGCCGATAGACGTAGAAGATGATGTAGCTGTTTTGGAGTGACCGTGGTGGACTCTATGGAGGATTCGCTGGGGAGTAGCGACTTGACAGACCAGCTAGGTTTCGACAGAATAGCGTCGATGTCCACCTCGTCAGACTTTGAAGAGGAATAAGGCCGAGAACCATAAGCTCTAAACCTCAGATCATGCCTTGAAAGGAGACCAGGAACGATCCGAGAACTCGGGCGGAGCAACATTTAGCTATTTGAAGTTGCCGTAACTGCACAGATGGATGTTGATTGCTGAAAGGTATACAGTTTCAATGATATAAGTAGTATCCTAGAGACGTCTCGAACTGAGCTTTGTTGATTGGAAGAGCAGCGTTGATGTCAGCGAAAACAACGCAAGAAGTCCAAAAAAGGCCCACCGCCTACGTTAGGCGGGCATGCCGCATCTTGATTACCCCAAGCTCAGCTTCATGAAATCCATCTACTCCCCACTTGGCCATTTCCCATCATATCTATTCGGGTTCAAGTAATCAACATACCATTTTTCCGTCTGCTATAGCTTCTCACAGTGTAACTATCACTTACCATGGCTCAAGACCCTCGAGTCCTACTTCAGAAGGTAACCTGCATTCCCCGCTTTCAAGGTCCCAAGCGACGATCGCTGACAGTATCGCCTCTCTAGGCAGAGAAAGCGCTGCAAGGCGCCTCAAGCGGACTAAGCTTCTTCGGCGGACGGACAGAAAAGTACGAGAACGCTGCGGATTTGTATACGCAAGCCGCAAATGCTTTCAGAGTGCAGAAGCTGAGTACGCGCATCTGCCCCGCCTCACTCTTCCTCGAAGCCCAGGAGTGTTACTGACAGAGTTACCTTCTCGATGATAGACAAAGAAGCCGGGCTGGCGTTTGAAAAGGCCGCCGCAATCCAGAAGCAGAACCTCAACGAGCCAGACGACGCAGCAAACACGTTGCAAGAAGCCTTCAAGGTCTACCGCAAATCCGACCCCGAGGACGCCGCTCGCGTGCTCTCGGCGGCGATTCAACACTACGTATTAAAGGGGAATCTGCGCCGGGCTGCCACACAGCAGCAACATCTGGCGGAGGTGTACGAGGTTGAACTGGGCGATACGAAGAAGGCGCTGGAAGCCTATGAGAAAGCGGCGGAGTGGTTTGACGGTGACAATGCGGAGGCGTATGCGACTTCTTTCCTTCATACAGATGCAGAAGATCAGGCATACTGACTAGTAACTGCGTACAGGCTCGCGAACAAGCACTACTTGAAAGTTGCGGATCTGGCCGCTCTCGAGGGAGACTACTACAAGGCCATTGAGAACTACGAGAGAATCGGCCGGTCATCCATCACCAACAATCTCATGAAGTGGTCTGTCAAGGACTACTTCCTGAAGGCTGGTATCTGCCATCTGGCAAGCAAGGTATGTCTCGATTCGACGGCTCCAGCTTTTATTCTCTTGCTTATTCGTCTTCCAGGATATTGTCGCCGCGAACCGCGCCCTCGAGAGTTACCGCGACATCGATCCTACATTTGCCTCGACGCGAGAGCACCAGCTGCTCGTTGATCTGGTGCAGGCTATCGAGGCCAGTGACCAGGAAGCCTTCGCCGATAAGTTGTTCCAGTATGACCAGCTCAGCAAGCTGGACAAGTGGAAGACTACTCTCTTGCTGCGCATTAAGAGCAATATCGAAGAGGCCGAGGAAGATTTCGCTTAAGCTTGCCTCGCATAATTCTCGTTATAGTGTTGATAGCTGAACAAGGGTTGAATTTATTGTGTCCCTGGTTGGACTGTCGGGATATTTGTCGATTATGCTAGATGATGTTGTGATGATCCGAATCCGTGCGTGCCTTGTACCGGTGTTACATTCCATTCTATATATCAAGGAGATAGCAATCAATCCTGTGATACTGTTTGCATCTGTCACTTACCTGGGTGATGACCTTGGATGCTTCGTACATTATCTACTTTGCCCTTGGACAACAACAAAATAGTCGGAGCGAATCCAGCTCTGACGCTCTGAATTCGCAGGTAGGATCTAATGCTTCGTCTATATACGTGGAAATGCTTTGTTAGCCCTCGCGAAAAATCCAGCGAAACTCATGAAATATGCAATGTCAACTTTTGTGGTATCATGTCATCCTTCATGTAAACTTGATCAAATAAAATCCTCCACGCAGACCCTCCATATGCCAGCACCAATCTATGCAACAACTTCCTCCAGAGCCTGGGCCTTCCTGGGGAAGACTCTCTTGTACAGACTGATGCCGATCGAATCCTGAGGATTGAGTTTGCCATCGAAAGTGGCCTTGAAGTAACCGTGCGTACCGAGACTCTCCTTGATGTAACCGCTGCGTCCTCTCCTGGTCCACAGCTGCAGGGCCTTGAACCAGTTGATGTCCTCGGCGTTGAAGAACATGTAGCGAACGGTGACGATTCGCTTGTGGATCTTGTACGGGTGACCCGTGAGGATGGCTCGCTTCGCGACGACGCGGGACTGGTCAGGGGCGACGACGGTGCCCTTTCCGATGAGCTCCAGGTTGTCAATGTCGATCTGGGCCTCTGCGTCGGCATCGGCCGAGTCGAGGACCTCGGGATCCTGGTTTTGCTTGCTCTTGAAAACGAGGATGGGAACGGCGCCCCATGTGAGAGGTCCAATCCAGGTGGCAATCGCGCTGCGGCCGGGGTGGAGGAATCTGTCGAACTTGTGCACGTTATTCGGAGTGTTATCGCCAGCTGAAAATATCGGCTTGACGACCAGACGGCGGGGGCCGCATTGAACGACGAGTTCCTCCTTGGACTTGAGGGGCTCCTCAACGCTAGAGTTCAGGTGCATGTTCACGTTGACTACGGTATGCTTGTGCTCGTGACGGAGAAGAGAGAAGAGAGACAGGGGCTGCCGGCGGTTACGGAGCGACGACGGCACTCCGCGCAGGTGGACATCAACCCTTATGCCAGGGTTCACACCGCCTACCAGAGCTTCACGGAGAGTTCTGTTCTTGGAGCCTTTGTAATCCACGATGTGCAGCAGCCGGCGCCAGTCCTCTGGTTCATGTGGACGGTCCTCTGCAGTCTCCCAAGCGCTGGTCTTGAAATTCTTCAGACCTCTAAAGCGAGCCAGCCGCTCTCTCGCAAGCACGTTAGGGTGAAGTTCGATTTCGTCTGGGAACTCCAGGTCATCGGACGCTTCCTTGCGGCGACTGGCCCGATACTCCTCCAGTTGCTGAGCTTCGTCTTCCGGCGAAGGGTCAAGGAACATCTCGGACTGAGGGTACTCAGAAGGTCCAGCTTCTGTCATAGCATCCTGACGATCCGGGAATACGCCATCCTCGGGGTTTCCAGCCGTATCCATGGCCATAGCCTCGTCCTCTTCCTCTTCCTCAATATCGGAGCCAGAGTCGGAGACATCATCGATGAACCATGCCGATTGATATTCTGACGTTCCCTTGGGCAGTCTCTTGGGGCGCGCGGGCAGATGGGAGTCGTCATCGGAGAAGTAATGGTGGTCGTCTAGGAGGACACCCTTGCGCTCCGTGTCGGCGAGAGAGATATCGTCCTCCTCCATCTCGATCTCCTCGGGAGCCACAGCGGCGAGGTCGTCGCGGTCAGCCGTGGGAACATCAAGAACCTGCAGGCCCTCATTCTCATCGACATTCATGGCATCATCGCGCTTCGCTCGGGCACTTGGGAGTGGTGCTGCAGTGATCGAGTCGATCTGGAAGTCGCCCCATCCAGGGATATGGACGAGACGGTCTGCCTTTAGTCCCTTTCCGCGGACAATGCCGGTCAAAACAACATCGTCGACGACTTCTCCTGTAGCCTCGGGCCATTTCATCTGCTCCACCAGCATCCAGCTCCGCTCATCGCGCCAGCGGATACCCTTAGGTGTTGCGGTACAAAGCGACCGGACGACGTTAGAACATTCCTGTCTCGAGTCGACAGACAGGACCTTTTCGACAGAAGGAAAGAAGTGGTTGATGAATGATTTGAGGGAAGAGGCCACCTGCGGACGTTTCTTGGGAGGATTGATCTTGTCGAGTCCCTAGAAAATAAACCCACGGTTAGTCCTACTAGCCAGACAATCAAAGACAGAAAGACCTCAACATACCTGAACGACAGCCACCACATTGGAAATACCCTGGCCCTCGATCGATCTCAACAGTTGTTCCCCCTGCTCCTCCACCTCCACCTCCGAGGACAATGCCAGCACAACGAAATCCGCCATGCGGCACACGTCCAATGCGCCCATCAAGTCATATTTCGCCGGAATATACTGCAGGCTCTGTTTGAAGCGATCAATGCGCACACGAGAGATCGTGTCCGCTGAAACATCCACACTTTCGTTCAAAGACCGGAGGATTGCAGCGACGTCGATATCGACGGAAAGCGGCACAACTGCGACATGGCGAGGGGCACCATTCGCTCCTGTAAAGATACTGTTGGCCTGCGCCTTTTCCTGATGCTTGAACTGCTGTTTTTGACGAGCCTGGTTCCGACGATCGAGCTTCGACATGAGTTGCTGGTGAGGGGTCTTGCGAGTACCCCGCTCAACCTTGCCTGATCACAGATATCGCAATTAGAGTCGTTCCAGGGCAGTAATAGTAAACTAGAGTAATGCAATCATACCCTTGTTGATGTCCTTCAGAGCACTCTTTGAAGCATGCTTGGACTTGAATGGCTTGTGGGATGCTTTGGTAGTTGAGCGGTGATGATGCACCGTCTGGGTGGGCGCCATGTTGGCACCGCCGGACCCTTTGAATCGAAAAGGAAGAGAGTCCAGTTTGCTATAGAAATAGACAGAGAGTTTATATGTTCAATAAAAGAATCCTGAAGAAAATCTCAAAGGACTCTATAGCACGATAAGCCGTTGCACGATAGACAGGATCTCGGAGAGCGGGTCTTTTCTGCCAGAGAAAAAAAATTATTAGTCCAGGTGTGGGAAGCGAGCGTGAAATCTTGGCATGAATTTTCCTTCAAGACCCGCAGATAACCTTACCTCCGATCATCTTTCAGTCAGCAATACTTCTCGCTCAGTTCGATTTTTGCCAGTTCCTCCTTCCAGTGATTATATTATCTGAACAGAGCGGAGGAACGCAGCAAATGTCTGAATCCGCACCGACAATGGCCGTCGCGCCGACCGGCAAGCGCGAAAAGAGCAAACGGGTGGTCGAAGCGCAAAAAACCTACGGACGTGGCAAGCCCATCAATGTACAGAGCGTCAGGGATAGGAAGCTACGCAGCAATTTGAAAGTCGTGGAGGCCAAGTTCAAGGAAGCCGCTCTCAAGGCGAAGGATGCGGAAATTCTGCTCGAGCATGAGGCGGGATTTCTGGAGCCTGAAGGGGAGCTCGAACGGACATACAAGGTGCGACAGGATGAGATTCGCGAGAATGTCGCTATCGAGACGGCGAAGAAGGGATTCGAGTTGAAGCTGGAAGATCTGGGTCCATACCGGGTAGACTATACAAGGAACGGTCGGGAGCTGCTTTTGGCTGGTCGGAAGGGGCACGTTGCGACGATGGACTGGCGGCATGGCAGATTGGGCTGTGAGCTGCAACTGGGAGAGACAGTTCGCGATGCTCGGTGGTTGCATAACAATCAGTACTTTGCGGTTGCACAGAGGAAGCACGTCTACATCTACGACCACGCCGGTGTTGAGCTGCACTGTCTCAACAAGTATATCGAACCGGTCTTCCTCGACTTTCTCCCATACCACTTCCTTCTCGTTGGCGCTGTAAGATCGACCTTTGAGATCCGATAACTGGAAATTGCTAACACATGTCTACACAGCAAATGAGCGGTCATCTCAAGTACACCGACACATCGACCGGCCAGATGGTCACAGAACTGCCCACACGCCTCGGCTGTCCGACATCGCTCTGCCAGAACCCATGGAACGCCATCATGCACGTCGGTCATCAGAATGGAACGGTTACGTTGTGGTCTCCAAACTCCCAAACCAACCTCGTCAAAGCACTCGTGCACCGCGGCCCCGTTCGCTCGTTAGCGGTGGACAGACAAGGACGGTACATGGTGTCGACAGGCCAGGACCAGAAGATGTGCGTATGGGATATCCGCATGTTCCGGGAGGTGCACTCGTACTCGTGCTACCAGCCCGGAGCATCGGTCTCGATCAGTGACCGCGGTCTGACCGCAGTCGGCTGGGGGACGCAGGTGAGCGTGTGGCGCGGCCTCTTCGACGCTGCGAAGGCGGACCAGGGCAAAGTCAAGAGCCCCTACATGGCCTGGGGCGGGGACGGCCACCGCATCGAGAACCTGCGCTGGTGCCCGTTCGAGGATGTGCTGGGAGTCGCGCACGACAAGGGATTCTCCAGCATCCTGGTTCCGGGCGCCGGAGAGCCCAACTACGACGCGCTGGAGGTCAACCCGTACGAGAACACGAAACAGCGCCAGGAGGCCGAGGTGCGCGCGCTGCTGAACAAGCTGCAGCCGGAGATGATCTCCCTGGACGCCAACTTTGTCGGCAAGCTGGACACGATCCGCGACCAGAAGAACCGCGAGGAGAAGGATCTCGACCGCCGGCCCGAGGACCCGATCGAGAAGCTCAAGAACCGCGGCCGCGGCCGCAACAGTGCCCTGCGCAAGTACCTCCGCAAGAAGGGCCGGGGCAATGTCATCGACGACAAGCGCGTCAAGGCGGAGATGCTGCGCAAGGAACACGCTGCGCGGCAAAAGGAGAAGCTCCGCGCCGAGCGGC